CTACAAGGGAACACTCTAGGTAAACAGATCTCTCAAAGGACTGTTTATCTTCCCCAGACAAACATCCTAGCAGGGAGATACATTTTTTTCTGTTCTTCCCTGTCAGATGAACCCCAGTACAGGTCCCTGCTTTTCTTCATCCTGCATGTGCTTTCTGGGGTTTCTCTTAAAATGACCTGTATTCTTTTATTCTCTGGTTAATTGTGAACCAGAGATCAGAGTTTAACCAGCTCTGCAAATTTCACAGTGGTGTTATTCACCAGTCATGATTCTGAATCTACAGCATGTGAGCAATATCTGGTTTCAAGCCATTAAATAAATTTGCTTAATTACCAATGAGGAATTACCCCCTTAATTAAACTTTAAGCTAAGCAATATAAAGCGCAAATGCTCACCACTGCAGGTCTGTACTGTCCCCATATATTTCAACTTTGTTTCAATTAATTTTATACAAATAACATGTTTAGATAACCCATTTAGGTCCACCTGTACTGTGCTGGTATTTGTACTTATATGTTTTAGATGCTCTTATATTTTCTAGTCACTTAAGTTGCTGTTTGATTTCTTTTAGTCAAGTCTCTTTAGTCAAGTCTCTAGCCAGTCCGGCTGGCCAGACACTCACACCGTCAGTTACTGTACCAAACTTCACAGTTACGCACTGAGGTCTTTCACACGTTGTATATGAATATGCCGGCATACAAGTTCATAAGACACACATACACATCAAGAATATTTTTTTCGTATTACATCCTTAAGATCTTAGATTAGGTTTTATACTTCATGAACATTTTAGTTATAATTTAATTATAATGTGTTATATTTTGTTTTGCCTTTACATGTATCTCTTTTAACAGCATAACTTTTCATAAACACAACATCAGTTATTCCAATATCCATCTGTTTATCCTGACACCTCTGGTCAGGCACTTTCTGACAGTCCTGCTCAGACCAAACACCATTTGATCAACCATATTTCTTTTTCAGCTTCTCCTCACACACACCAAGTACTTTTCACCAAGTATTCAAACACCTTACACACCCTCTGGCAGACCTAACCTTTTCCTCAATTTTTCTTCAGTTTCCTTCAACCTTTTTTTCTTACTTCCCAACAAATAACACGGACACTCGCCAGGACAGAATCGGGCCTTACAGCGCCGGATGGAGAATGCCTGTCCGGGACAGAATCGGGCCTTACAGCGCCGGATGGAGAATGCCTGTCTGGGACAGAATCGGGCCTTACAGCACCAGACAGAGTATGCCTGTCCGGGACAGAATCGGGCCTTACAGCGCCGGATGGAGAATGCCTGTCCGGGACAGAATCGGGCCTTACAGTACTTACCCACAACTGCACGGTGCCTCCCCTGGGCCAGGGGAATTCCTGCTTGCTCGGCAAACTTACACTCAGGCTGTACTCGCTGGACAAGGGAGCCTCCCCACCACAGCACAAGAGAGTTGGGACTTTTGGAAAGAGGAGTCCTTACCTCTGATTTTGTGCACGGAATGCCATCTCGGGTGCTGGGTGGGAAAGTCTCGTGTCGTTGGAGTACCCTGCTCGCAGTGCCAAATTGTAGAAACCAAGAAATTCGAGCCTGAAGTGTTCGTTCGTCCAGCCAAGCTTTATTGCATGCATACAAGGAACCACAATAAGCACCATAACAGTTATAGTACCTATCGTAGCTCAAAGGGGATATGGTCCTACAGAACTTATATATACACATTCCCCCCCTCCGTCTTTGATGTAACCGAAGGAAATAGAAACCTTCCTTTGTCATCAGGATTTTAGTGTAAACATTCACCATTTGGGTAAACATTCACCATTTGGAGGTAAATACAGGGGGAGAAAGCCTCTGTGATCAAGCAGGCGTGATGGTTACAGTTCAGCATGTAAAAGCTCCATCAAAGCCATGTTGAAGAAATGGCACAGGAAGGAGGAGCTGAATATAATGTGACAAGTCTTCAGTTAACAGTCCAGCTGATTTCCACTGCAGGGGAGTTGGGCTGAAGAGAAACTCCACAGGAAGTAAAGTAAAGCCGTATCTGAAGATCTTCAAACAGCCATTTTACAACAACTGGCTTTTCTAACGTCCAGCAATCCCACAGAACGCAGTCAAGTAAGATCTGAACATGTCAACAGTTATCTTCAGATGGACATTTTAGAATTAACAACTTGCAGTTTAGATTTACACACATGACATAATTAATGTGAGGCTGATCACCACTGCAGGGGAGTCAGGCTGAAGAAAACCCCCAGTGTGTCCAACGT